CCCTCTACCGAGTGGCAGGAGAATATGAAAGTATCACCAGAAAAAGAAATAAAAACGGCAAAAAGAAAAGTTATGGAAATACTGTTTTGGACAAAATCCAATAATTTCCTTACGCACGAAGTCACCTTTTAATTTGTTTTAAAGGTTATCCATCATATGGATTTACAAATTAATAAAATATGAAATTATTATCGGATTGATTTATTTATGTAATTCATTCTGGCTAATGAAAAAATATTTGGTTACGTTTAAAGAAAGAGTTAATCATTCATACACTTCTAGTATAAAATTTTTTTATACTGGTAACCAATCATATCTTTTAAATTATTTTATTTTATTTTTATTTTATTAAATAAGCAACTGACATGATACTATTAAAAGATATGATTAGTTGTCAGTATAAAATTTTTTTACACTGACAGTGTATAAGTGATTAACTCTTAAAGAAATATGAAATGTTGGGTTAGAATTAAAGTGGACATGGACTTACATAAGCATAGTCTTTGTTAGATATAGTTTTATCTTATGGGCCTAGGCTCACTACTTTGTATATAAACACATTTTTTGCTTTGCAATACACAAGGGATATGTTCTCTCCATTTACCATTACTCTCAACATGGTATAAGAGCCTATCCTTGACTTTCCGGTGGACCCATTGTTCATCGGTGTCTGGAAAACGTGTCTCATTCTGTTTTCCGGCTACCCACCTTGTCGTGTCTCTTTCCGGTTATTTTTTCCTCTTTTTTTCGACGTTTTTCTTCGCTGACGCCACTGTCCGCTGCCTCCGTCGTCAGCTTTCCGGCCAGCAACCCCTCACCCAACTCGCCTTCCTTCGACGAACCCAACACCACCGATCTTTATCGGTAAGAAACTTTTTATGAAATGATCAAAAGTAAGAACATAAGAGTTTAGGTTTAAAGTAGACAATATTTTACTGTTGTGGAAACAAGTGTGTGATAATCCTTAGGTATACAATAAATGGTATTATAATTAATGTTTGACTTGGTGATTTGCTCGAGTATGATAGTGGACATGTAAATTTAAGAATAAGATTCTTCATATCGAAAATCTTTCTAATAAAATGTGTTCATAAATGGAAGATAGTTTTTCTAGTAATATGGAGAGCTAGGTGTGTCTTGCTATCATGAATTATCAGTGGAGTAACGGTGCAACTACTTAAAACATGATTATACTCTATGGATCACCATTGGATATATTTGTTGATTAGATTTTACTATAAAGGAGGTAAACCACAGTCCTTTATTTAAAAGGAGGATTGTGAGGATATAATTAAAATTCCACATCATTCGAATCTAAGACTGGATATGGATTTACATACACAGAGACAATCTTTATTGATATATAAGAAACCTTTTGAGAGATAATTAAAAATAAAATAATAAGAGTTTAAACTCAAAATAAACAATATCTTATCATTATAATGACAAGTATATAATAATCTTGGATGGACAATATGAAATCTTTTTATTATAAATATATAAAAAAAAACATATTCTTATCACATAAAATATTATGTTTGGTAATAAAGAACACTACTTACATTTAGAAGGAAAAAAAAACAGTCTTTTATCTTCGATGATAAGTTTTTATTTAGTAACTTGAGAAATTTAAATGTTGGCGTTATTCTTGTTCACGTCACTAAAATCATATTTAGTGGACAATCATTTTTAAGAAAATTTATTGACATTGAGTAGTTAGTTGGGTAGCTATTATTAGAGAAAAGGTTATAATATATTTTAGTCTTTTATTTTATAATATAAAATATATTAGTTTTCTTTTAATCATGGTATAGATTTAAATTTATATAAGTTCTTTATTTTTTAAATATTTATTTTGATACTTTAACTTTTAAATTTATCTTATCGTTAGTTCGTTACTCTTTTAATACGGCGATCATTTTCCATTTTGCATAATTGAAGCACGAATATAAATTATTTTTTAATTAACTCAAAATATGAAATTAATTTCATTAAATTTTATATAAAAACTTTAAGACTCCATTAATATCTGAATAAAGAAAAGGTCAGTAAAAATCATGTAAAATATAAGTTTCATAATCAATAAAAAAGAATTTGACATTAATTTTCAGTTTTCCGATATTATTCACCAAACTCACTTTACACCTAATATTCACCATGTTTACAACTTTTTTCGGTTAAAAAAATGATTTTCAATCGTATTCCAAAATCAAAACAATCCCTATCTTGAAAGAATAATGTTATGTTAAATTTAAAATCTAAATGGAAAACACAAATATTTTAAAAGATAAAGAATAGAAACAAAATTTAATAAAAAAAATAAAATACTAAATATATATTATAGTCTAAATAAAATGGGGGAAGAGATTCACTTATTCTAATACTCAATAACTCATATTATATATTAAATTTTAACGATCTAACTATTAAAGTAAAATTCTTAATATATAGATAAAATTTACAAATTTGTAAAATTTGAAAATCATATGATATTTCATAATATATATTTAAACTAATATATAAAATATTTTTATACATATATCCATCAATTTAAATTTATGAAACGAAGTATTAAATAATTTTTAATTTTTTAAAAAATTTATATACTTAATATATACATTAAAAAATTTTAATTTAATAATTAATTATTGATATTTAATATAAAATATAAACTATTAAGTAAAATAAATTTGACCTAATAGTGCTGGACGTGAGGGGGTGTATTAGGAAAAACCCAAGTCCTACATCGAAATGTTGGGGAGTTTTTAACACCGGGGGAGCACTCTACAATGGGTAGTGAGTAAGTCACACAAGTGAGCTTGACACCACAACATAACCTAAAACCTTAAGACAATAGGTAGGTAGGTCTTTCTCACTTATATATTACTCAACATGCCCAACTCTAACCAATGTGGGACTTTACTTCACACTTGAACTCCAACACTCCCCCTCAAGTGTGAATCCCTTCCACATTGTCACGCTCCCCCTCAAGCGGAAGCCTTTTTTTTTCGTCCACGAGTATTCGATGGTGGCCTTACTTGCACTGCCGTTGCACTTCAACGATACATGTAGAGGTGGGCAAAATGAACTGAACTGAATTGAACTTATAAAAACTATACTGAACTTAAAAATAGTTCTCATGAACTGAACTGAACTTAAAAATAGTTCTCATGAACTGAACTTAAATATTAGTTCAGATGAACTGAACTGAACTATTTTTTTGTGTTATTGAACTAAACTTAACTATACTATAAAAACTTGAACTGAACTGTAATTTAGACTGTATTGAACTGTTATGATATTTTGAATTGAACAATTTTGACTCATTGATCTATCAAAATAGGACACATTTGCCAACTTTACTTTATTTTCCATTTTATTTAAATTTTTAAAGAACAAAATATATAAAATTAAGTCAAACAAACTCAGTGAATTTTAAGCCTAAAAATAAGTAGTCCAACATAACTCAATTGATCCGTTAGGTTCGATAAAATTGATACAATTTTTTTTATCACTTTTTTTTCTTCTAAAGTTTTGGTTATTAGACTATCGAGTTATTCCATTAAGACATAACATATTTTTATAATTCAATTTAGTTTTATAGTTCAGTACAGTTAACTTTCCAACAATTCAGTTCAGTTCAGTTTTTTTTTTTTAGCACAGTTCAATTCACCACCAGTTCAGTTCAGTTCAAATTTTTTTGCCCACCCCTAGATACACGTCATCCACACCTCTAGGGAGACTTTCAGTACAAGGGATGATCCTATTTCTTGGATCTCTTGGCAATTCCATTCAGGATCTCACTCTTGGATCCAACCAATACTCGTGTGAGCCGACCACCAGTCATTTGGTTGAACCATCGACTCTGATACCAACTTAGAATAATGGATTTAAGTCTAACTCAACCCTACAAAACTGGCTTATAAGGTGAGGGTTGCTTTCCACTTATATACTATTTAATTGCCTAATCTCTAGTCGATGTGGGACTTGGGTTTTTCCCAATACACCCCCTCACGTCCAGCACTATTGGGCTTGGTACGTAGATAAATGGTGGGTGACCCTTTTTAATGATCTAGGATTGGCGAGACTTGAGTTTTTCCCAATAAAATAAGTAAATTCTTCGTGAAATAAAATTACTTGTGATTTAACTTTGCAGTGATGTACCGATGAGCCTATGCTAACTATGTCAATGGTCTACCACTATATGAAAAGAAAAAATTGTTTTGTTTACATTGACGCTTCAATTGTGTTCCATCGAACATTAAACCAATATATAAGCTTGGTTTGCTTAAAGATCTTACCTGTCGAAAAATAAAGAGCCTGTATAATGCTTAATAATAAGTTATAACGATGAAGAAATAAATAAAATCCTCTCACATTCTTTTATCTCGACATCAAAACTTGGTGCCTAGTCGTTTAAACACACAGAAAACGGTTTCAAAATTAAATGTTGTTATGACAACATTAGTCCCCAAAATTGATTCATGTGCAAAGACAAAGATTATTAAACCATGTGGTACATTACATATCATTACATGATGGAACATGCATTGGGGTTTTCATCACTGAAGAGAGAGGTGAGTTTATCATCGAGTGAGTTTGGAGCAGGTAGTGCTTGAGGTGTGTTTTTGACATAACCTGATGGTGCCTTCTTGTCATATGCCTGTGCCACATAAGGATAAGCCACCAAGTTGTAAGGAATATATGGCCAAAAATCTGCTCTCTTTCCTGTGCTCTGCACTCTCTTCAACACCCTATTTCTCTCCACGTAACCTGTCACAGTTACTTTGCTTTGCTTTCTATTCACCTCTACTTGCTTCACACCTGCATTCTTCTCACTGCTTTAGCTCAACTCTTATAACAACATTCATAAGCTACACACATTAATAGCATCAAGTGTATAAATTAAAATAAAATATATGTAGTTTGTGATAGTTAAAACACAAATTTATTTTAGTAAAACATGAAAGATAAAGTTTAGAAGGGTTTTTTGAGAGAATTTTTACTAAAAAAATACTTCATATTTTCGGTAGAGGATATTTCAAAAGTGCTTCTAAATTATATATAAAAAAGCTTTGATTATAAGAATATAATTATAAGAGTAGTATATGAAATGTATATTCAAAGTGTCTAATTGAAAATATAAGGTAAGGGATAGTCTAAAATTTTAAATTATGTATTATAATGTATATAATATTAGATGAAAAAAATACCCAAAAGTAAAAAACATAAGAAGAGAAGTTAATAGAAAACTGTGGTTGATAAACAAAAAGATACTGTAAGGTTTCTAGTGGATCACAACTCCATGTCAGGGAAACCACAGTTAGGTTGCATTATTATGCCACCTTTGGATGGTTGAGAAACAAGAAAAAAAAAATGGAAATGAAAAAGAAATTAAAAAAAAAAGTTTGGTTTTTATTGTTCTTTTCTTACGAGGAGTAAGTAGTTGCCATCCAAGAAACAGAGTCATAAATGAATTTTCCATATTTAGCACAACCTACTTCAACTTCTCACAATCTCTAACACAAGGTTGTGGAACTATATATATGACTCTGCTATATCTCAAAATTAGCTACTGATCAAAAGATGACAAAACCTTGGTGTATGGAAATGCTGTTTACAAGGTGAACACAAAACTCAAAGTTGTTTATGTGTATTTGGTTTCACGTTATAAATCTCTTATAATCACGTCGAAATACAAGTTAATTTCGTTTTAATTAGATTTTTAAATGTTTATTAGTTTCGTCTTAAGTGATTGATTGCGGGTGTAGAGTTGATTCTGAGTTGAAGTAACTTTAGATAATTTTGGCGTTGGATCAAAATTTTTGTGCTAAGTTTTACTTTGTAGGCCAAAAAGAAGAGCAAGTATGAACTATGGGAGAAAATAAAAGGACATAGATTTTAACCTTTCATGTGAATAACGGAATTCCTAACTCTTCTTTCACAGCCATCACAGTCCATTTTCACTTTGATTTCCACGGTCTGTAAGAGAAAGTATAAGCATGAAAATCAGAATTTGCTTCATAGAGAACATCATGTAAGACAAACAAAAAAATCTGAGAAAACTAAACCTGCATTGGTTTGCGTTTCTTTCCGGTGGTTGGGGACACTGAGAAAAATTCTGAAATGTAATCAAGAACACCCATTATTGCTTTGGTTTGGTTCTTCCAACTAAGAAAAAGAAGAGAACTTAGAGAGAGAAAGTGGAACAAGAAATTCTATGTTGTCTAGGACCAGATTTTGGGGTGCCAATTTATACTTGTATAAAGGAAGAGGTTCCCTTATATAGAGAACAAGTTGTGTGCGCAAATATGCTAAAATTTAATGCATTAAATAATGCATATATAGGACTAATAATGTTGTCCCACAAATACAAATCATGATTCTCTGGCTATCTGCATGTCAATAAAGGTGAATAACAAATGTCATATTACTTGAGGTTTAAATATGAGAATTCTTATGCTGTAGAAAAAGAAATTCAAGAATTCTATATGTTATTTTCTAATTTTGCTTCTTTAATAATATACTTTTTCATATGTATAACTAAGAACAGAACCACAATCAATATGTAAAAGAAATTAAAATACATATTAATTGTGCAAAATATTATTGGTTAGCAGAAATTTGTCTTGAACTGTCAAATTCATGCAAAAGAAAGCAGACAAAAATCAAACAAATTATTGACCAAAAGAATGGAAATCTAAAAATTACATTCTTTTTATGCAATTTATATTGATTTTCGATTCGTATCTTCATTATGAAATCAAATCACCACAATAACATATATTAATCTCTATGAAATTATTATAACTTACTTAGCTGTCTCAAATTTAGATATTAAGTATATATGTAATTATATTAAATATTTAAAATAAATATTTTTATCATTTATAATAATTCTACTCAATTTAAATAATATTTTTAAAAATAATTATTTTATCGTTTATAATAATTCTACTTAATTTAAACAAGATTATATATATATATATATATAATTAAATAAAACTAAACTGAAGCACATATGTTAAATTTATATTAATTTTAATAAACTTAAATATATTTTTAATTCATAATTTATTTAATTAAAAATTAATTAGAATAAATAAAATAAATTTAAATAAAAAATTTAAAACTCTAAAAAAATTCTGAATATATTATGACGTAAAATAAAGGTGGATATTTAATATATTGGAGTGGACATTTAAATCTAGGTTGGACAACCCCAAGCGTGTGATTTAGTGGTAGGGGTTGATCTACGCTTAAGCAAGATTAGGGGTTCGAATCCTGCCTTGTGTATGCAGGCACATTAAATCTTAGGGCCAACTATCCCACCCTTTGAGATGATTCTCTCGTAGCAAGGAGATTAGTCACAGGCGATGGATACTTCATGAAAAAAAAAAAAAAAAATCTAGATTGGACACCCTACTGTACACTTTAAGCTAATAAAAACACGGAAGAGAAGCGTTGTTTTTTCTTTTCGTGTTTATACAACAGAAGAAACCCTAATAACATAATCATTAGTTTATGTCTATTATTTGAGATGCGTAAGACAGTGGAAGCCGCGGCTTACCTCTTTTCTTTTGGCTTAAGAAAAGGAAACTGTTGTGTTGTAAGGTTTGTGAATTCATTTCCTTTTCCTTTTAAAAATAAAATAAAATTAAGGTATATGTTTTAGTCGAAGTTAAAATTAAAAACTAATTTTTTAAAGTATCAAATCTATAATTTATTTAAAGGATTAGTCTCAACAAATATTCTTTTCTATATTCTTAAAAAAAATGAATTCTTGATCATATATTTAAAAAATAAATTTATTTATCAATTACGTTGTAGGGGTTTGTGAAATCATTCTGATATCATACCTTTGTTTTGGTTTATTATTGTTATTATTATGCCTATGGCCTACATAGTCATGTTATCACGGGGATTTGAGTCATTTGACTTCAACCCGCGGTTTGTGTTGCAACATTTATGAAAATATCCACCATTGATATAGCTGGCTATAGTGCGACGGAGATATATTCATTGATTTAAAATAGTTACCATATTAAGATTTTTTTTCTTTTCAATTTTATTCTTATTTGATATCTTCGTTAAATTGAATAGATATATATAGGAACCACACTTAACATAATCAAATAAGCTTATGTTATCAAAATAACAAATAGTTCGAAATTTGTATTTGTTAAATAAGAATTGGGGCTTAATCTCTCTTTGGTTATATATAGTTTGAATTAAAAGTACCGATTAATTTTTAAAATGGATCAATGTAGTCTTAATTAACAGTACCAATTAATTCTAAAAATGGTTCAATATAGTGAAAGAAAGTCATACATCTTAAATATATCAAGGGATAGTTTTGATAAATAACTTATTTAAAATTTTATTTAATAAGTTTTAATATGATGAAAACTTATATTATAAATGGTTAATGTAACACTATGTTGTAGATTATAGTTTTTTTTTTATTTCATCAATTAAATGATTCATGTGATATGTTGTTTTAATGTTTTAAAACTTTAAGAATTAAGAAATTTTTATAAGTTTATGTTGTTTGAGAGTTGTTTTAAGTTGAGATTAATGTTGACCAAATTTAAGGAAAAATATATAATGTTTTCTTAAAACTTGAACTTCATAAATTCATTTTCTTAAGAATTTTAGAGAGATTTTATAGATATAGGCTTTGGAGCCAAAAAGGATTATTTTCTTCTTTTGACTATGTAGAAGCATCCAAATCATTCCCTATAGTTGAGTGATGGTGTTTGATTGTAGATTCAAATCTTGGGAGTTGAGGATTAAGGTCAAGATTGTTGTACAACGAACTCCCTAAGAACCTTTATTCTTTGTCTTTAAAGATTCGAGATAAGGAAAACTTGTAGATTGACTATTGTTGTATTGTATGTGTTGATTGTGGTTTGAATTCATCTATATTTGATTGTTTTTTTTGTTGAATTGAGAGGTGAAGAAACTTGTTACTTGATTTTTTTTGTTCTTGATAGAAGGAGAAGAAAATTGATGATTGTGAATTCTTGTTTGTTGCATGTAGTAATTTTTGTGACATTCAAGTTGCTTATAATTTATATGTGTTTTTTTGTGAGTTGCACATTGGATTGAAGGAGATTTCAGGTGATTTGGGTCGAATCACAATTCTGCGAATTGTAGAAATTGCCTTCATGTTAGGTGTAACTTCACGGTGTCAAGTGTGATCAAGTTAGTGGATCTTTATCTCATTGACATCGAGCGCAAATTAAGTGACACCGACCTTGAGTAAGTTAAGAGCTCTCTAACTTGGTTAAGCAAGACATGTGTTAAGGGATGTCGAGTGTGATTGAATCATGAGCTCTCTAACTTGGTGATGCCAAGTGTAGGATGAGAAGTGTTGAGCATGAGCAAGTTAGAGGTTTTTTTGCCTTGGTGACATTGGAAACATGATTAGCAGTGTCATGCATGGATTAGACAAAGACTCTTTATCTCATTTTTATTAGGTGCAAAAGGACTGGCATTGGGCGTGAGTGAGCTAGAGGCCTTCTACCTCAGTAGCGTCGAGTGTAGAGAGAGTGGTGTCAAGCGTGGACACTAGGTGTGACTCGACCACTCCAAGCGTGAGTATGCTAAATGAATATGAGATATATGTTGATGTATGTTGTGTCATGAATATATGAGTTATATGTTGTTGTGTAGTATTGTGTTGTGAGATGCATGAGGCATGTTGTAGTGTTGAATTATGTTGATTTGATGCATGTAGTTGTGTTGTGTCGTAAACTTAGGACTAGAGGAGAAGTGTTGTTTTAAAAGTTGAAATATATAATTGTGTGGATATGTGTTGTGATGTTTTAAGAGTCCAAGTATTGAAAACCCTTTTTGAGTATAGTTGTATGTTGAAGTGGAGTGTTGAGTCTCCTTTAAGTTCTTAGTTGATATCGTATGGAGGTCATGTCGAGTCATACTAGTTTAGAAGCGACCAATTGAGTAAGGTATGAAGTTGAGAGGTAAAATCTTTAATTGATTACTAAAAAGGTGCGTAGTATATGGAGGATAGTTAGTGGGTTAATTCCATAAATGCTTAGTTGATGTATACTAATATTGTGGTAGATCCATACCTAAGTTGTTATGAAATAATATTGTGTTGTGTGCCATAATTGTTATTGTGAAGGTTGATAATGTTGTTAAGTTTGTGATACTCCTAAAGGTTTAATAGAAGATGATTTTTTTAAGGGCTGGTACATATTTTCTGAAGACATGATTGAAGGAAAATGAGGAAGATGATGATTCATGTATTGTTTTGGAGCAAATGTTTGAACAAGAATTGGAAAGTATAGTTAATGAAGGAGGAGTTGAGTTTTTTGATAGCAAAAAAAGGGTCGTAGTTTTTACTTTGGATGATATTTTTACTTTGAATTTACATTTAAGTCCACATGAGCTTAGGAATGTTCAATTTGTAAGTCTTGAGATGACTTATTTATTTTATTATTGGTTTGCAAAGATGAACGGATTTGTTACAAGAAAAAGCAACGTTTTGAGAAATAGTAAATGAGAAAAATTACAACAAATATTTGTTTGATTCAAGGAGAGATTTAGAGATAATCATTGATTGGGCATAAAGAATCGGAAGCGTGAGGAAAAATATGAGATATCGTGTGGATGTGAAGCAAAACTAAGAATGCACATTGATATTAATTGTGGACTATGGTACATTACATATTTTTTGGATGATTACAACCATAGTTTTTTTAGAAGTATTGTAGAATGTTAGCTTTTCATATAAACTTGAGTGAGTTAGATGTAATATAGTTGAATAAAATGAAAAAAAATTGGCATAAGTACTCTTCAAATTAATGGGTCATTTGTAGATCATCCTAAAGGTTATGAAAGACTTTCTTTTTGTAAAAAGGACATATACAATTAGTTTGGAAGACAAAGAAGGCTGCAAGGTTTGGATGCTAAATCCACTTTAGAATATTTGAATGGTTTAAGGTGAAATGATTTTTTAATGTCTGCTCGTCACATTATTGATGAGGGAAACATATTACAACATTTGTTTTGGTGTGATGACATGATGCAGATGGACTATGAAATATTTGGTGATGTGTTAGTGTTTGATGCAATGTGTGAAAAAAAATAAGTATTTATGTCCTGTAGTTGAATTTTTTAGGGTTAATCATCACAATCATACCACGTTATTAGGGAATGTTTTTGTTTCAAATGAAACTAAAGAAACATATATTTGAGTACTTGGGCAATTTATAAAAGTCATGAAAGGAAAGTCACCAATGTTTGTTATCACTAATGATGATGTTGCAATGAAGAATGCCATAAGAAAGGTTTTCCTAAATTCACACCATAGATTGTGTGTATGACACTTGTTAAAGAATGCAACAACTAACATCAAGAAGCTTATATTTACAAAGGATTGAAGAAAATGCATGTTGGGTGACTATGAAGTTGGTGGATTTCATAAGAAATGGACTAAAATATTGAACTAGTTTGACTTGCATGATCATCCTTGGGTTATAATAATTTGAAAAGAGGAAAATGTGGTGTACAACTTATATTAGTGGGGCATTCTTTACTGGTTTTAGGACAACTTCTCAATATGAAGGATTGCACTCTTAGTTGAAAAAATTTATTCATCCGAGAATTAGTTTGACAAAGTTTATTTAACACTTTAATCGTCTTCTGAGTTATATGCATTTAAGAGAAGTTGAGGTTGACTTTGCATCAATTCATGATGATCCTGTGCAACAAACAAATTTTCATAACCTAGAATTGTTAGGTGTAAAGTTTTATCCAAAAGAAAATTTCAAATTATTTCGTGGTCAGCTTGATAGTTCATATGTGATAAGGGTGATTGATTGCAAACAAACATTCAATTGTTGTATCTACTTAGTGACAAAATATGAAATGAAGCATAAACAATGGCACATGTCATTTCAATCAAAACCATGTGATTTGAAGTGTTTGTGCTTAATAATGGAATTATTCGACATTCCTTGTGATCATATACTTGCAATGTTAGTGCATTTTCATTTTTTTGAGTTATCAAAATGTCTAATATTAAATAGGCGGATTAAGGTTGCTAAGGATGAAGTTAAGGGCAACATTAGTACCCATTTTTGGGACTTACACAAAGATGCTAGATACTTGTCATTAATGGAGTATTGTAAAGATCTTAGTACTTAGGAATGTGAAACATATGATGATGTTGATAAAAAGGATAAAGTTATAAATGAATTAGTTTTTGACGAAGTCAATAAATACTCCTATCAATACCATAATATATATATAAAAAAAATCATTACCACTACATCGAAACTTAGGAAATGTTAGAATAATGATTTTTATTTTTGGCATTATTATATATAAATCTTTTCTATTCATTTAAAAACACAAGAGAGATATAAGATAGAAAGAGAACACATTTTTTTAGAATTTACGAAATTTTTTTGTCAAGATTGTATATGCTCATTGAGTTTTTCTCTCGTAGTCAAAGAAAAGTTCAAGAAAACAAAGGATTTGAAGTTGAGTATCTATTCACAAAGTGAATTCATTTCTTTCTTCAAGGATTGTATTGTATGCTCTTAGAGTAGAAATCTTCTAGAAGAATTTTATAATGGTTTTTTTTTTCTTGAAGGTTTTCCAAGAAAATTTTAAGATGGTCAAGAAGTATCTTGTTGATTACTTGTTTGTAAAAGAATTTTATAAATTAGTGGAAATCTCCGCAAAATTTGTTAAGAACTAGATGTTGGTTGACATGATTAATTCAATATAAGATTCTTTATCTATTCTCTCTCATTCTTAATTCGTTACATTTTGTAATATTTTTGCTTGTTAAAATTTTACAAGTATTTATCATAGTAAAAGCTTAATCTTATCCACTGTGTTGAGTCAAATTGATCTTATTGTTTTTTCCCTAAATTTCAAGAGCCTAATTAATCTTATTTATGATTATTTTAGTTTACTTGATTTTTCACTTTTACTCGTGAAATTTAGAAGATATTTTTTTTAGTGAATTAAAAATATCTCTTAACTAAGAATCAAAGACTAATTTCTCAATATACTAAAATCTATTTAAAAGAAAATTAACATCTTCTAACACAATTTTTTTTTATACACACGAAGGTAAAAATCTTATATTAAATTTAGTTTATATATATATATATATACATGTTAAAAAGACATTTAAAGGTAAAATTTAAGTATTCTAAATACCACAGTTATTCTTAAAGAAAAAAAAAAATACTTGCACACTTATAGATTCAAAACACAAAATGTTAAAAATATAAGAATTAACAGTCTAATTAAAGCTTAAATACATTCAAGAAAATCGTTAATGAGCAAGAAGTTTAATTATTTAAATATTAGGTTTTTTTTTATGTTTTTCTTTGTTGAAATATCACATGGAGAAAATAATTTGGAAAGTTACAAGTTTCGAGGAACCATCGCTCAAAGTTGTATACAATTATTGCTCTAAACTATGATAATTTGCAATTTGCTCTAAGGGAGCCAAGGTAGAGAGTAATCCTAAAACCATATACATGGTCGTTCAGAGTGAGTTATAAGGGTACTCTAAGTGAGAAGATTTTCAAAGTTACCACAAATTCATTTTGAATGAGTAAAGGCAAAGAGCACCTTTTGGATGCACTTACATGGTCGCTCAAAGCGAGCAACATGTGCCTTCTAAGCGACTAGATCATACATAAAAGTGCATAGAAATTATTATAAATTTAGGATTTCTAGAGGTCTTGTATAAAACATTCTTCTTAGCACAATTCTAGATATATTAAAAAGAGTTTCTATGAGACCATTATTATAATCACGAACCGCTCGAAGGTTTCATTTTTTGTACATTTCTCTCCTCTTATGAGAGCTCTCTCTCTCTATTTGTGAGTCTTGTCACCTATCATTGATGTGTGATACCTGTTGCAATTGATTTCGTAATCACTTCTCTCCTTCTCTCTCCCTAATCATTTCTTCTTCTCGTAATTGTTGCAGGTTTTCTTTTCTTTCACCTTTTTCTCATCACAATTGATTTTTATGTATTTTCTTGTATGTTTTCTTTGTTTTCGCTACTTGTATGCTTTTTTCATAGTTTTTTTAGGTAGTCTTGTACGCATAACAAATTCAATATCTCCCATTTTAAATGACTTTTTACGTTAATTTTGCACAAACCTTTCTTTTCCTATTTTTGAGTCTTCTAAGATCCTTTTTTTCTCTATTATTCACATATCTATCTTTTAGGATAGTCCAGTTTTATCTTGCATCGTGGTCTCCTTTTTTCTTTTTTCATTTCTTTTTCTCTCTCCGAATTTTTCACTTCCCTGATCATCATATCTACATGTTGCATATTCGATGTAAGGCCTCATAATCATCTGTTTTTTTTTTTGCAATCATTGCATGTATACTTGAAATCTTTTGGGTCCAACCAAAATTTTACAGCATTATTAAGTAATCATCTCATGCTCTCTTAAACTCATTTTACATATTTTTGCATGTGCCTCTTTTATATTTTTTTGCTTTCAATTTATACAACTGCACTTTTTCTTTAAAAACTTCTTCTGTTTGCACATCCTTAAGTCATTACCCGATTTCGTTAAAAACTATGGGCTCCCTGGAAGAAGATCTTGAAGGCTTAATCATCAAAGATAGAGATGATGAAGGTACCTCTAACCTAGTTAACCTAAGTCTTGTGGGTCATTTCCTTACTGACAGACCCATTCGTACTCATATAATGAAGAACTGTATGGCTAGTATATGGCGACTCGGTAAAGGTGTCTCTATTTCTGAACTTAAACCAGGTGTCTTTCTATTTCAATTTTACCATCCTATAGATCTTAAAGTGTCCTTGATAATGGCCCCTGGAAGTCTTTTAAAATCCTATGAAATCCTAAACCAATACACCTCCTAAGATTGTTTAAACTTTAAACTTGAAAGTTTAAACATGGGTAGATTCATTCTGTAATGAACGAGTCAGATTGAGGCCGTAGAAAGAGAAAGCACGGAAAGAATCCCCGATCTCCCCCATTTTTGACCTCATCATCAAATAAAACTCGAGAAAAAAAAAACCCTAGTCCTCACGGCTCTTTCCCCACGTAGAAATCGTGAGAAAATAGTGGCAATTTTTCTCATTTTCTTTTTACATGTGCCTTACCTTGTCACATTGATGGCTCCGCTGTCCTCCACAACCACACTCCCAAACCAAAAGAGAACCTCAAGATCTTCAATGACCCATTAACCCCAACAATCTCAAACCCCAGACCCAGAGTTTAGCCACACCCTCTTCCCAAAATCCTTCCTTTTTGCTATGCCCCAACACCACCTCACACTTGCCATTTTCATCCCCATTGCTACCACCTCCACTATTAATTACTACTGCCACTGTTACAATTAATGGGTGTTGAGAAAAAATGGCTCTTCACCCTCTTCACTGCAGCATTCCTCTCCCTCATCATTCTCATGCTCTCTTCCTTCTCTTGCTTCACCTCCCCTATGCCCTTTCCCTCTGTCGTCCACCATGGTCCTCACTACCCTCCTGCTTTTGCCTACTTCATATCCGGTGGCAGCAGGGACAGTGACCGGATCTTCCGGTTGCTGCTGGCGACCTACCACCCCAGGAACCGCTACCTGCTCCACCTTGGAAAGGATGCCAGGGACGAGGAGAGGCAGAGGCTGGCTGCATCCGTCATGTCGGTGCCGGCGATTCGCGCCTTCCGGAACGTGGATGTGGTGGGGAAGGCTGACTATGTCACCTACTTGGGCTCATCCAATGTGGCTGTCACTCTCAGGGCTGCTTCTGTTATGATGAAGCTGGATGGGGGGTGGGACTGGTTTCTCACTTTGAGTGCAAGTGATTACCCCCTTCTCACCCAGGATGGTAATGCCAATACGGTAATTTCTGTTTTGGATCATGGGTTTGTTTGCATTGTGGATTAGATTTTTTTGGGAGGTGTATGGGGCTATGGAGTCTCACGTTGAGTAGAATATGAAGCTGCCTTGAGGGTTTCTCACGGTAGTCAAAGTGTTGGGACTGTTCTTGTATATGTAGAGGCTTGATGATCATTGGGAGGTGTCTTGGGACTCTGGTTTCACGTTGAGTAGAATATGAAGTTCGGTGTCATACTTAAAAGCCTTGAGGCTTTCTCACCTAATGGACTAGTCTTTTGGGTTGGGTTGGACCCTCCTTGTGTGCCTAAGTCCTAATAGACGGCTTATGTGAATTGTTGGTCTTCAATTGTTTTTGTTTTGGTCTATGTTTTTGGACTCAAAGGTGAAAAGAGAAAAGTGGTTGGTTGTAATTGCATAAAATAAATTTGTTGTTATAGCTGGGTTGGAACCAAGACAAAAGTTGAGAGGACCAAGTTGAGAACGATGGAGGGGTTCATTGGAGAATTAGTAGTGAGAGAGGAGTGTGTGTGGAGTAGATGTGTTCAAGTGGGGTTGGGGAGGTGGGGGTGGGGTGGTGTTTGGACTTTGGAGTGGTGGATATGGATGAGCCTCTTGTTGTAGCCTAAAGTAAGAAGTTGGTGTTTTTAAAGCTATAATAGATTTTGAGGTAGTTAGAGATTCATAAAACACTCCCCTCCACCACAAATGAAATTCTTCTTGTTATCTTGTGATTTGTTTCATTTTACATGTGGATGATTTTAGGTTATTTTTGTGTGAAGTCAATCTTTTACATATACCTTTGTGTTGTTTAATCTTGTCTGATATTGCATTTCACACTCATGAAAATCGATTTTAGTTGGCATGTTTGACAAAATGCTTTGCTATTTTATGTTTATTGCTAGATGGAAGAGATCAGTTAAAAACCTGGTATGTTATCAAGAAATGCTAGCAATTACGTCTAACACATCTTTATCATTGGTTGAAATTTATTAGAAAAAAAATGCTGGGTCCCACTTCTTACTTAACGAGCTCCACTCATGATATTGTAGTTTCCAATAAATTTTAATCAATAATAGATGTTGTGTTATAAGGAGTGTGTTTGAGGCTATATTGCTGGCACTCTCCTATGCTATTTGTTCCTTAAGACACTTAATATCTTGAATATTTATGATTGCCATAATCTCACAAGGGAGAAAGTCATATGGTCCAATTGCATTGTATTTTATGTTATTCTTAATTGGTCATGATTGGATACATTGAAACATTAATCTTGTTTTTCTGATTTAATTAGCAGTAGGGGGGAACTTCTAATTTGAGTGATATATTTAAGAATCCCTAAGTGGAACCTACACTAAAACTAATGTTTACGCAAATCATGAATGTGGGTCACAAAAGACTCAGAAAACTCAGCAGTATGCATCGCAATCACATATCACCAGCAAGACACCTAAGTGAATCATCTAGATCACAGTTAACCTCAGTTTGACTATCAATTTGATGGTGCTAAACAAAAGAGAATTTTAACTGGGTGCCACGCAACTTCCATTTGATTTTCAAAAATAACTCAAACTTCATTCCTCTTACATCATAGAATAAGGCAATCCAAGGAGACACAAACTTCTTTGAAGAACCACTTATCAATATAAGATGTATCACCACTTCACCAGTCTTGCTACAATGTAAATGGAAAGAGCTATCTTAGAAAACCTATCAACAACCACCATGTCTGAGTCATGGGTTCTAGCAGTATGTGCAGTGGAAAACTAAATACATTTTTCAACCTCTCCAAGGCTAATGAGGAATTGAAGGGTAGTGTACAGAGTACAAACTAGTGTTTCATGGTGAACAACATTACCTTCTAAACTTACAAAGGGTCATTACTTGGTTTAATCCACACTTTTCTACTAACTCCCCATGGAATTCATTGAGAACATATCCCAATGCTCGTTCTTCAGTTTCTATGAGATTTGAACTGTCACCAACCAACTCAAATTTATTACTACAAGTGCAAGGTTCTACCCATGATTTTAAAATATTTCAGCGTACACCAACAGCCCTACGTGGTCTTGGTCGTTACCATCAAAATTCGGTAATTCGACTTTCTTGGCAGCAATCTGACTTAAGTCAGCATCTCAGTTCGCATATCACTGTTGAGTTTCCTCTAGAGAAGCATGGACCTCTTTCTCCTCCCTCTCCCTCAACAAAGTTAGCTATCATCTCTTTCTTCTCATCCAAATCCAACTTCTTTCCTTCTTCCTTGCAACTATCACAAACCTCATCCGTAATCCTCAACAATACAAAAAAAGAATACCATCTTGAGCTCACTCACTCCCTGTAAAACCTATGCTCATTACTTCAATCAGGGACCTAACATAAAATATAGTCACAGAAGTGTTCGATAAACACTACATATGTGAAATGTATTTTTTTTCTATTAATAAAATGTCCTAAGATTGATGCCAGTGAACTATTGTACCCCTGACCCCACTTTGAGGGTTGGGGGATCCCAAAGTTTTTTAGGCTAGACTTCAGAGTTCAGATTATCATTATTCTCTTGATTGGCAAGTGGCAGCATTCTATTCTATGTTGGTTCTACATTTTGTTTGGCCTGACTGAGATAACCCTGTTGTTTGTAAATAAACTTTGATGTTCACGTCAGATATCAATAAAATTGGGCATCTATTGGTTTTGCTCTATATTATTGCAGTTCCATTCCAAGAACATTTATTCATTATTTTATTTTTTCTTAAAGGTGAAGAAATGCTGCATATAACTTATTGTTCTGGACGTTATTCAGTAAATTATGCTATGCTTCTTTCTAAGGATGACTAATTGTTCATATTCTCATTTATGAATACATCCTTGTCTTTTTTCTGCAGACTTTCCAACTTTCTAATCCATACTGTTTAATCTGTGTCAGATTTGTCCCACGTTTTCTCTTCTGTTCAGAGGGACCTCAATTTCATTGACCACACAAGCGACCTTGGATGGAAAGAGTAATGAAAACTACTAATTCTAGCAGCTACATTTTTGCTAATGTGGTACTTTTACATTTAGCTCTAGATCGTATATTTATGTACTTATTTACCCATGCAGAAAGGACAGATTCCAGCCTATTGTAGTTGACCCAGGACTATATTTAGCGAGGAGAAGTCAAATTTTTCAAGCTACACAGAAACGGGAGACACCTGATGCATTCAACCTTTTCACAGGCAAATCTATTCTTTCATACACTGTCCGAACAACTCAACCTATGAGACTGACGGTTATATGTTGAATGCTTTCCTTTCCTTGCAGGTTCACCATGGGTCATCTTGAGCCGGTCCTTCCTAAAGTTTTGCATCTTTGGCTGGGATAATTTACCTCGAACACTCCTGATGTATTTTACAAACGTGAAATTATCCCAAGAAGGTTACTTTCACTCAGTCATTTGTAATGCACCAGAGTTCAAGAACACAACAGTAAATAGTGACTTACGGTATATGATCTGGGACAATCCTCCAAAGATGGAGCCACTCTTCCTTAATGTATCTGTTTATGATCAGATGGTGGAAAGTGGTGCTGCTTTTGCTAGACAGTTTGAAGTAGGTGACCCGGTTTTGGACATGATTGATAAAAAGATCCTAAAGCGTGGGCGTAATCGAGCTGTGCCTGGAGCATGGTGCTCGGGCCGGAGGAGCTGGTGGTTGGATCCATGCTCACAATGGGGTGATGTCAATATTCTGAAGTCAGGTCCTCAGGCTAAGAAGCTCGAGGAGTCTGTTTCAAGCCTTCTTGATGATTGGAGCTCGCACACGAATCAGTGTCTTACTCCCAGCGAAGAGACACAAGACTAGAAACATTTAAGGAAAGGGATGCATTGTTGTGCATCCTGATTCATGGACAAGTTAAAAGTTGCTATTAACTGAAAGCACATTCTTTGGTCACCAATGTAATTCAATTTTTGGGAGGTGGTTGACTAGACTCTTGTTGTGGCGGTCGTTGCGAGCCTTTCAGGCAAGATCAAGTGGGGAAGGGAGTGTACTGGAGATTTGGGGGCTCTATTTCTGGTGGATCCTCTAATGTCTTCAACCCATTTGATTGATAATGTGAGCATGTTCCCCCTGCTTCCAATATTATCATGTTGTATGATGTACTGTATGTTTCTTCACTCCCATAGGGATTTTAGACTATTAGAGCAGAAAGTTCATTCTTTAAAGATATGATTGTCATTTTCCACTCTCATTCTTTCCCCTGGCACATCATAATATTCTGGATGCATGTTTTTATGAAAGAAATTATGAGGACGGAGAGTAACACGGATTCTGCACAATGATTTTACCTTAGTGCGTGGCCTTGCAAATTTTGCCCAGCAAACAACTGACGTGAAAATATTGAAATCCAATTGGATAGAACTATTTCTATTCTGGGAAATTGAACATTCTCAGGCCATTGCCATTGCTAGTTGAAATCTTCATTTCTAGCGGTTGGTTAATCAAATTTCAAAATCTGTGACATGTGATACAAGACTACGTATTTCCTTCATTTTTTGTCCATGTTCTCTGATTTGGTGGTGCCAAATTTAACTTAGATGCAAGATCTAAGGAAATGACTAATGCTTACCCCATGTCTCTATTCCAACTTCTATTCTTTGTTAATCAAACTAATAATTTAGAGAAATTATTTAAAATTTATTTAAATGAGTGGCTGTAAATGCTTGACAGATCTTAAGAGTGTGTTTACATGAAGAATTTAAATGAAATAATTTATTATATTTAAAGAATTTCAAATATCTTATGATGAAATGTTTTATTTGGATGGAGAAATTATAAATAATTTATAATTTAAATATTTATGAAAATTTTTAAAATAGTAAAATTTTAAATTCTCTCACAAAAATAAGAATTTGAAATTAATTTTTTTATCTCTCTCTTATTTCTTCATTATTAAATATTCAAAAATACATTTTTCAATTATTAATTATTATCTAATATTAATTTTTTTTAAATTATTAAATATTTCAAAATTGACTAATATTTTGTTTTATAAAACTTGAACTTAAAATTTCAATATATATATATATATAT